TTACTACGCCTAGGATCCTCATTAGGTAATGTATTTTCCGTTGACTCTTCCCGTGGTCGTTTAGGTCTTTCACTTGTTGACTCACATTCAGTTTTATACGGATAAATGTGTTCAAAGAACTCAGCGTTATCTAAATCAATTATCGTATTCACATGAATTTCAGGATTATCAGATTTGTGAACCAAAAATCGACATGTCTTACTGTTCACAACATATCCAATAAATACACAGACCATTGTTTTGGGCCCAATTTTCACCCTCTTGGGTAAATGAACCTCTACCTTAGCTAGATACCCCCACACTTTAAAATATTTCAAGTTGCATTTCCTTCCTTTCAATAACTCATATGGAATTGATTGCGTTTTGCTACGGGGTACCCTATTGAGTATCTTATTAGCCATAAAGATGGCTTCCCCCCAAAGGTTTCGCGGTGAACCAAAGCTGATTATCAAGGCATTCATCATTTGCTTTAATGTTCTGTTTTTCCGTTCCGCCAAACCATTTGACTGTGGTGTATAAGGTGAAGTAGTTTGATGAATCATACCATATTCCAAACATATCTCTACAAAAAGAGATTCGTACTCTCCACCCCATATCACTCTGAATCATTTTTAGCTTTAGATTCAATTGATTCCCTACTTCATTTTTGTATTGCTTAAATGCATCAATTGCTTCATCCTTACTGTTAAGTAAATATACATAACAAAATCGAGTGCAATCGTCAATAAAAGTTATAAAATACTTTTTTCCACCACGAGATAGTGTCGACTTCATATAGCATATATCTGTGTGAATTAAGTCTAAAGGCTTTGAATTTATTTCAACTGACTTATAAGGATGTTTAACAAACTTACTTTCCACACAAATTTCGCATTTCGATTTATCGCATTTGAAATCAGGCAATACTTCTAAAGTAACCAATTTTCGCAAGGCTTTGTAATTTACATGTCCCAAACGGGAATGTCATAAATCATTTGACTCCAATAAGTAAATAGAAGCAGAATTCTTATTAATATTGTCAACAACCATTACATTCAGTTTGAAGAGGCCCTCAATGAGGTAGTCTTTTCCTAAGAACATCTCATTCTTACTTATTACAGTTTTATCACTAACTAGGACACATTTAAACCCGTTCTTAACGAGCAATGCAGCAGAAACTAAATTATTTCTAATAGTAGGAACATGAAGAACGTTGTTCAAGGTCAACACCTTGTCGGATGTCATTTTCAACATTACTTTCCTAGTTCCTGCAATCCTCGTTGTTGCTATGTTCCCCATGAACAAATCTTCCTCGAACTCAGTAGGAGTGTACATTGCAAAGGCTTTTTTCGCAGAGCAAATATGTCGAGTGGCACCTGAGTCGAGAAACCACTTTTTGGGATTTCCAACTAAGTTGCACTATGAGATCATTGCACAGAGGTCATCTGCATCTTCCATCTCTTCCACGATGTTTGCTTGACTTTTGCATTTGTCTTTGTCTTTGTCTTTTCTTAGAGCACGACAGTCAGAAGACTTGTGACTAGCCTTACCACAGTTGTAACAGTTTCCCTTGAATTTCTTCTTGGCCTGTTCTGACTTCTGTCCGTTGGACTTCTTTCTCTTCTTGCCTTTGGCAGGAGCTTATTCAACAATATTAACTCCAATTATTGTCGAACTCTTACGAGCCTTCTTTTCAGCGGTCTTGTTATCTTCCTCAATCTTGAGCCGAATCACAAGATCTTCAAGCTTCATTTCCTTACGTTTGTGCTTTAGATAATTCTTGAAATCGTTCCATGAAGAAGGCAACTTCTTGATCATTGCAGCCACTTAAAAAGCTTCATTTACTACCATATCCTCAACAATCAGATCATGGAAAATAAGTTGAAGTTCCTGCACTTATGATCCAACAGTTTTACTATCTGACATTTTATAGTCTAAAAACTTTGCGACCAAAAACTTTTTCAAGCATGAATCTTCTGTCTTATATTTCTTTTCAAGTTCATTCCACAATTCTTTTGAAGTTGTCATTGCACTATAGACATTGTATAAGTCATCCTCTAAAGCACTCAGAATATAGCCCTTACATAGGAAGTCTGTCTGTGTCCATGCTTCAATAATCATGAACCTTTCTATGTCTGACATATCAGCAGCAGACACTGGAGTTTCTTCATTGGTAAATTTCTGCAGACCAACAGTGGTAAGCCAGAAAAATAACTGTTGCTGCCATCATTTGAAATTCGCGCCAGAGAATTTTCTCGGTTTCTCTGCTGGTGGTACAGCAGTTCGGGTTGGTGCAGCAACAACCACTGTAACATTATTGTTTTCCATTTCTGATAAACAAAAATCGATACAGACTTAGTAAGCAATAACTTTAAATTGCAAACAGAATAGGAGTATAAAACCACAAAGATTTTTGTCTCCAACAGAAACACATATTAACAAATAAAATAATCTCCTTAAGATTGTTAGCAATCTGTGTTTAAAACAGAATTACTATGCTAATAAACTTTGTAGAAACACGAAGTAACCAAAGTTTTAATGAACCAGTAAGAACAGAAGAAAAAATAATAATTAAGAACAACTAAAATATGTAAAACATACCAGAATCTGGAAATAGACAGAACAGAAAAGATCAAGCCCACTGAATGCACATTGTCCCCTTAAGAAAATTATTCCCCTCTAGTATCCGAGGTTTGATTTGGAATATGTCCTCCCATGATAGAATGATCTCAATCACCAGTGTATTAATACCCAAAACTCTGGTGTCAGCGAACCACTCAACAGCAGTAAAGTACACGAAGAAACTTTATGCAGAAGAAGAAGAAGAAATCAGAAAAATTTGTAAGGAAAAAGTCTGAAGAATCAGTGGTATTTATAGCCAAAAGGAACTGATTCTGAAAGGTTGCAACCTTTCAGAATCCACACTACCATTAATGAAAGTTTGCAACCTTTCAAACGGTCATGGTTGTTCCTGAAAGTTGCAACCTTTCATAACAGTCATCTCCAACGGAGGAAAATTAAATAAAATGGGAAAGTTTAAATAAAATGGGTCGTGCGCGGATCTGAGTCGGGCCGGAAAATTAACTAATTTATTGAAACGTTTTGGCCATTTAATTTAATTAAATAATTAAAACAAACTTTGTCCAAAAAAATAATCTCTCAATCATTTTCCAAAGCCAAAGCCAAAGTCGAGCGAGCGAGCGACGAAGACGGCGCGAGAGGGGTCCCTCTTTCCAACCCTTTTAACAATTAATAGAAGTGTTTCTTTATTTAGGGTGTGTTTGGTATGAAGGAAAATGTTTTCCAATTTTCTCATGTTTGGTTGGGTTAAATGTTTTGGAAAATGTTTTCCAGATCAACTCATTTTCTTCAAATTTAAGGAAAATGACTTCTCTTCAAAACTCAAGGAAAACATTTTCCAAAACTCTCTTCCAACTTCCAATTAAAAAAAAATTATTGTAAAAATCAATTTATTTGGTCCCTACCCTCAAACCAGCCCCCCAACCACCCCCCCCCCCCAAAAAAAAAAAAAAATTAAAGTTCATTTTTAGATTCAATATTTTTACCCCACCCTCACCCCAACCCCCACCCCCTACCACCACCCCTCAAAAAAATATAAAAAGTTGTTTTTAAAAGATATTTCTAATTTCAATTTTTTATTTTTTTACACCCCCCCCCACCTCCTACCCTCGCCCCCCATCCCCCTATCAGCCCCCCACCCCCTTCAAAAAGAAAAAAATTTAAGTTTGTTTTTAAAAAATATTATTTCATTTTTTCACCCTTACCCTGGACCTCCCTATCCAGCCCCCACCCACCCCCTACTAGCCTCCCCTCCCCAAAAAAAAAATTCAAGTTTGATTTTAAAAAATATTTTCGACTTCAAAATTTCATTTTTTCACCCCTACCCTCGACCCCCCCCCACCCTACCAGCCCCCCACCCCCCAAAAAAAATTTAAGTTTGTTTTTAAAAATATTTTCGACTTCACAATTTAATTTTTTCACTCCTACCCTTGACCCCCATCCACCCAACCCCTATCAGCCCCCCCCCCACCCAGCCCCCCCCCCCCACCCCCCAAAAAGAATTTTAAGTTTGTTTTTAAAAAATATTTTTAACTTCAAAATTTCAATTTTTCATCCCCTACCCTCGACCCCCCCACCCCCCACTCCCCACCCCCAAAAAAAATTAAGTTTATTTTTAAAAAATATTTTCAATTTCAACAATTATTTTCTACTCTAGTAAAAATAAAAGAAATTTTTCAAAAACATTTTTCATTCATAAATCAAACACTTAAAATCTTTTTCGAAAAATATTTTCTACTCACCAACCAAACATGAGAAAATAAGTCAAAAATCAACTTGTTTTCCAAGAAAACATTTTCTAGGAAAACATTTTCCTTCATACCAAACACACCCTTAAACTCTTCTATTTTTCTTTCCGGCACCGATAAGGGACAAATGCCTTTTTACTAAAGCATAAGAGGACTTTTTAAGTTCCTAACTTGACTTTTCAAGTTTCCAACTTTTCAAGTTCCTCTCTTTTCATCTTCCCTCAATTTCCCATTAACTCTTGCTAAATACCCAACAATTGTTAGACGTGTGATTTACTCCTAGATTAGTGCATTCCACTTACATTCTAATTTTAAATATGATACATAATTGGTTAGATTAGTGTGTTTCAGTTACATTCCAATTTTAAATAGATGTATTTGCTTGATACATGCATCTTTATGCGCCAAATACATGTATATAATGACCAAAATATGGTACAAAATGCAGTGGCGGAGCCACATGTAGTTAAGGGGTGTCGACCGACACCGCTTCGTAGGAAAATTACATTGTGTAGCTAGAATAAAAATATTTTTTTTATGTCTATATATTACATAGTGACACTTATTGGCTTCTACACGATTTTATTTCTTTATATTTTGACACCCCTTTGACAAAATTCTAGCTCCGCCACTGACGAAATGTAATTTCAAAAATTTAAGAGAAGACATGTAATTAGACCCTAAACTAGTGTAATTTGTATTATTTGCTTCTTTCTCCTCTTTTTTTTTTCATTCAAGAAGCTATTTACATGAATAACTCATATTTACAAATTTAATCAAAGAATAATATCATCATCATATACAAGCCTTTTTTATTGGCTACTACCTTAACTTTTATCCCCACATGATTTTGCAATTTCCTTAATTACCAAAGCTCTTGCACGATTAATCGTTAAAAGACATAAATAAACATGTTCTTCAAGTTCCTCCACTTGTTTCTTGAATCCAATATTACTCTTCTTCAACTCCTTCAACACTTCCAATGAAACTCTATCTTCCCTTTTGTCCAAACACAATTGTATCATTTCCTTATTATGATCAATTTCATCATGGAGTCTATCCACAAGCCTAGAAATCATGTCAAAATCTCTATTCAAAATATAAGTACCTTTCGTTGCAACGTCAAGTTGATCTCCAACTTTTCTTAAAAATCCACATTTCAAGAATGGAAAACTCATAAATTTTTTCTTAAATGGCTTTAAAGGTAGGGTTAAAATCGCCGGTCCCATGACTATTGCTGCAAATGTATGTGCTGCTAGTACCAATGCTGCCACAACAACTAGTCCACAAGCCACTGTCACACATACCCCTGAAGTCTTGTTGACACATTTGATCAATTTGATTTTCCTAACCACCCTTTTTTTCTTAGACTTCAAACATTGTAACACTGATGAATATTCATCGTTAATTTGCGTAAAATCTTGTTTTTTGAATTCAGAAAAGGGGTTGTTATGAATAATAAAAGTTCGAAGCTCGAGTAGTACTAGATAACCAAATTGGTCAAAATTGGAACAATTATCGACCGAGTCAAGGACTTGTTCGATAAAACCATAGTGAGATTGAATTTGGCTTATGCTTTTAAGGATTTGACTGCAGAATTTTGATGCGTCCGCACTTATATTAAAGTAATTTGTAAGAAGGGATTTGAGATTGTATTTTTTGGCTTGAAAAATAGTTGTTTCAAGAATTGATGTAATTTTTTCTTGGCTTGGATCAAGGAGGATTTTTGAGAAAGTATTAATGTGACATAATTGAGAATTAGGAGATGATGGTTCATTTACAAGTAATTGAGCTTTTGTAATGAAATCATCATATGATTTTGTTCTTAATGCTCCAAGGTATTCCTCATTTACATTATTTAGGCTTCTTTGTGTGTCTCTTGTCATTTTCTTCTTATCTGGAAAATCAAATAAATTCACTTTATTCAAGATCAAGATATTTAAAAAAGAGAAGTACAAGTAATAAATAGAAAACAGTTTTAAATTTTTCACGTAGATGCATTTACACGTATTTGAATAACGTAATTTAATTTGTTATAACACGTTTGTTTTTTATATTTTTTTTAAATCTAACTAGTTCCACTTATTATACACAATAGCTATCGTTTAAATGACTTGATATTGTATTTTTTTTTTCTTTTAGCCTATATAGAAGTTAAACTTGATTTTTTTTGTAAAAATGAGGTAAGGAAGAGGAAATGGGGAGGGGATTACAAGGTGGAGAATTGAATGCTCACCAAGAAAATTCAGATAATCAACTAACTGAACTACTAAGAATCGTGCATCTTGTGCAAAATTAACTCATGAAATTCGTAATTAATTAATACGATGAGACATATAGAAGGAAATTTAGGAAATTATAGCTTTTAAAAGATTTAACTATAATAAAAGTCTAAAAATAATTCTTAACTTGTGATGTTAGAATGCATTTGTTTTGTGTACAACATATATGTTTTTAATGTGACATTTGATTAATTGTATCTTTTTGGAGTTCTATTAATACGATAGGGATCTTGCTAAAACCTTCATTACTTCAAAAGGTGAAAGTTGGATAAATGGATACTAAAATTTCCACATATACAACAACAAATTAAGTAAAACATTATTGATTCATCGATTCAATCATACTAAACCAAATTATCATAAATAATCGTCAACAAGAATTTAGTAAATTAATTACCTTTGGAAGCTTCACACGTTGCATCTCCTACCACCATCTTCAAAAATCCTCAAGCTGTCTATCAAGTTTCTTCAATACATGGAAATATATCAAAGAAATCGTGAGACCAACTCATCAAGTCATTTTCCTTTTCTAAAACCTTATATTATAAAATAAGAGAATTGATGGTACACAAAATTAGGCAAGTCCAAGGTTAATTGTCATGAGCAGTGCCCTTTTTAAAGCCCCACTTGCAAGAAAGACATACAGTTTTAATTTAATTAAGGATGATATCTTACGTTTGCTAGCTTTAAGGCTAATATGTGACACCTTTAATTTCTTCAGATGATGATATATGATATGATCATATCTGGTGGTTGTTATATGCCTTTTTTTGACTTTTTCCAAGGATTAATTACTTGAGTGGATCCCTTTTAAAAAATAATTATATATTTTAAATATACTCTTTAATTATTACCATTTATAGCAATATATAATAATACTATGTATTTTATTAAATTGTCTCTCTCGCTCTTTTTTTTCTCTCTTTCGCTCTTTTTTTTTCTCTCTCTGGCACACTCTTTCTTCCTTTCTTTCTCTCTACACACTTTTTATGAGCTCTTTTTCGATCTCTCAAAATAAAGAGAAGCAACTAAGTAAAATAAGTTGTGGTGAAACCGCCAGCATCTTTAGTTTGGTTTCTCTTTGACCTTAATGATTCAATATTACCAGATATTATGGAGTATGCAAAATGTGGCAAACGAAAGAGCATCTTATTATCCTTAAATGGAATAAAATTTGTATCAATAATGAATTAAACAAGTAATTTAATCGTAACAAATCAACCAACAAACAGTAAAATGAATTAAACTTGTATTAAAAGTGTATTACAAAAATATTAAAGTTGAATTGAAAGAGAGAATTAATCATGAATAAAAAAACGTAACCGATGAAAGACGTTGATCTATAGAGTGAATTAAACTTGTATCAATAATGAATTAAACAAGTAATTTCATAGTAACAAAATCAACCAATAAACTGCAAAATGAATTAAATTTGCATTAAAAGTGTATTACACATTATTAAAATTGAATTAGAAGAGAGAATTAAGAATGATTGAAAAGTGTAAGTAACGAAAGACAAGACAATGATCTATAGACTAAATTAAACTTGTATTATTCATGAATAAAACAAGTATTATATGTGTCTTATAAATTATTTTGGTTTGTATCACTAAGAACATGAGTGAGTGATGTTTGCAATATGTATTAAAAATGTAGTGTGCATGTATTATAAATGTATTATAAGTGTGTTACCTAAATCATTTGGTTGGTATCACTAAGAAGAGAGTGAAGTTTGCAAGATGTATTACTATATATAAATATATTGTTCATGAATAAAATTTATATTAAATGTGTCTTATAATTATTTTGATTTGTATCACTAAGAAAATGAGTGACGGTTGCAATATGTATTTAAAAATGTATTGTGCTTGTCTTATAAATGTATTATTAGTGTGTTACCTAAATTATTCTTGTTGGCATTTGTAAGAAAGGAGTGAAGCATGCAATATGTATTATAAATGTATTATTCAAGAATAAAACATCTATTATATGTGTCTTACAAATTATTTTTGGTTTGTATCACTAAGAACATGAGTGATGTTTGCAATATGTATTATTAATGATCCTTCAATATTTAATGTGGTACAAGAAATGATATGAATCAAAATAAACGTTAACGAATATGTAGCTCTTATAAAAAATTAGCCCCTAAAAGTTATTATGTATGTTGTTTTTAAAGATTGTACTAAATTGGAATGATGTCTGCAATATGTATTAAAAATGTATTATGCATGTATTATAAATTATAATTTGATTGGGATCACTAAAAAGAGAGTGAAGTCTGCAAAATGTATTATAAATATATTGTTAATGAATAAACATATATTATACATGTCTTATAAATTGATTTAAATCAGCATGACCAGATTAGTCATGTTTTTTTTCTACGCATCACCAATAAACTACAAAATGAATTAAACTTGAATTAAATTTGAATTAAAATTGAATTAGAAGAGAAATAAATATGAATGCAAAATGTAGCAACCAAAAGAGCAGTCAATGATTCGTAGACTGAATAAAATTTGTATCAATAATGAATTAGACAAGTAATTAATCGTAACAAATGAAGAAACATAATAAACTGCGAAATGAATTAAACTTGAATTAAAAATGTATTACACACATATTAAAGTTGAATTAGAAGCGAATTAAACATGAATGCAATGTAGCATACGAAAGAGCATTTTGTGATCTGTAAACTGAATAAAACTTGTATCAATAGTGAATTAAACAAGTAATTCAATCGTAACAAATTAACCAATAAACTGAAAAATGAATTAACTTGTATTACACAAATATTAAAGTTGAATTAGAAGAGAGAAGTAAAGCATGAATAAAAAATGTAACCGATGAAAGACCAGACAATGATCTTTAAAGTGAATTAAACTTATATCAATAATGAATTAAACAAGTAATCTAATAGTAACAAATAATAAACTACAAAATGATTTAAATTTGCATTAAAAGTGTATTACATAGTATTAAAGTTGAATTAGAAGAGAAAATTAAGAATAAATGAAAAACGTAACTAACGAAAGACAAGATAAACTGAATTAAGCTTGTATTATTTTTGAATAAAACATGTACTATATGTGTCTTATAAATTATTTTGATTTGTATCACTAAGAACACGAGTGATATTTGCAATATGTATTAAAAATGTAATGTGCATGTATTATAAATGTAGTATAAGTGTGTTACCAATTATAAACTTAACCAAACCCTCTCAAAATTGAGATATAAACTACAAACGTCATTTTCAATTATTTATAGTAACAACCTATCCAAACTAATCACAAATTCGTAAAATTCAAATAATGAATCTAAAATTTGAAGCTTTATAATGACTATCAATGGTGAACTCTTACCGCTGTAATTTTAGAGATTTGAATTTCTGCTTGAAAACATATTTCTATACAAATTTTTAGTTTTTCTGTTCCTCTTCTCGTCATGTTCTTGAGTAAAGATAGTAAAATATGAGCAAATATTAATTTGAGGATAGTTAATTAAATGAAAATTTTAAAGAAGAAGAAAAAGAACAAAAAGAAGAAGAAGAAAAATGACGGAGAAAGAGACAAAGAAGAAGAATAAAAAAAAGAAGAGGAGGAAGCGAAGAGAAAAACTATACAACATTTTCAATTCCAAAAAAATGTTATATTAAGTTAAAAAAGTTATATTGTCATAGATGGTAAATATTTTTTTAATATAGCATATTTATGTGATTTACCCTTTTTCCAATTTATTGCCATGATTTATTATGTAATAAAAGTATTACTTTCTCCGTCTTGACACAATTTTTTATATTTAGTAATAATTTAACTTTAAAATGCTCATTTATCCTTAATACGATAATTTATATATAGTCACTCAAACATCTATATATAACTTGTTTTAGATCACAAATTTCAAAAGTTTTTCTTACATTATTAAGTGTTATGTCAAGTCAAGTCAAATAACATTACATAAATTGAAACAGAGAACATTGTTAAAACTATCTATTATGTAGTTGATATATGCATAACAAAAATTTTGGAACCATTGTAAGTATACATACATACAATCATATATAGGTACATGTGTATAAAGGTTTGTTTATTGCGTCTTCCATTTCTCAGTACTTTATATTTCTCCTTTTTTATGTCTTGTCGATATTTATTTCCGGTGTCTGGTTGTGCAAAATCACTAAGTACATAAAATTCCCCCTAAATTTGACAAGGAAAATTACTTTAGCAATTTAACTTAACGAGCAATTATTTACCTCCTCCCCCCCCCCCCCCCTCCCCCGAGGCGGACCTATCTTATTAAGTGGGGGAACATGCGCACCCATTAACTTCGAAAAAATCCATGTGTATATATGTATATCTATCTTGAGAAACTGACAGAAACTAGGATATAATTAACTATCCACCCATTCAAACATATGAGGTGTTCTTGTGTTGTTGGGATAAGGTATGGGAACTACCTGTTAGACTAGGGTTTGAATCTAGCTAAAATGTTAATTCATTATGTTTATTTTAAGTTTTGCTTAGAGATCGTATTTGGTGCACCCGAAGTCTTCAAATCCTAGGTTCGCCTGTGCCCCTCCTTCCCTTAATCTCTTTTTAAGTTT